TGAGGTCAAACTGACAGGCCTACAGTTCCCCGGGTCTGCCCTCCGGCCCTTCTTGTAGATGGGCGTCACATTTGCTAGCCGCCAGTCAGCTGGGACCTCCCCCGATAGTCAGGACTGCTGATAAATAATGGAAAGTGGCTTGGCCAGCTCCTCTGCCAGTTCTCTCAGTACCCTCGGGTGGATCCCATCCGGCCCCATCGACTTGCGCACATCCAAGTGCTGTAGCAGGTCGGCAACCATTTCTTCATGGATAGTGAGGGCCACATCCTGCTCCCCATCCCCTTCCACCAGTTCAGGGTACTGGGTATCCAGAGAACAACCGGTATTGCCGCTAAAGACTGAGGCAAAGACCGCATTAAGCACCTCCACCTTTTCATCATCTCTTGTAACAAGGTTTCCCCCCGCATCCAGTAAAGGATGGAGATTCTCCTTAATCTTCCGTTTTGCGTTGATGTATTTGTAAAAAGATTTTTTGTTGTCTTTAATGGCAGTAGCCAGATTGAGCTCCAGATGAGCTTTGGCCTTTCTAATTTGGTCCCTGCACAGCCTCGCAACATCCTTATAGTCCTCCTCAGTGGCCTGCCCTCTTTTCCAAAGATTATAAACCCTCTTTTTTCTCCTAAGCTCAAGCCACAATTCTCTGCTGAGCCAGGCCGGTCTTCTTCCACGTTGGCTCATCTTTGGGCACGTGGGGACAGACCGCTCCTGTGCCATTAAGATTTCCTTCTTGAAGAGCGTCCAGCCTTCCTGGACCCCTCTGCCCTTCAGAACCACCTCCTGAGGGACTCTACCAACCAGTGTCCTGAGCAGCACAAAGTCAGCCCTCCAGAAGTCCAATGAAGACTTTCAGGGTTTCAGTTAGGACAGAGTTAATTTTCTTCCTAGTAGCTGGTAGAATGCTGTGTTTTGGCTTAGGATGAGAAAAGTACTGATAGCACCCCGATGGTTTAATTGTTGCAGAGCAGTGCTTGCACGAAGCCAAGGACGTCTCAGCTTCTGGCTCTGTCCTGCCAACGGGCAGGCTGGGGGTGCAGCAAGAGCTGGGGGGGGACAGGCCCAGGACAGGTGACCCAAACTAGCCAAAGGGGTATTCCATAGCCATCTGACATCATGCTAAACAATATATAGGGGTGGCTAGCGTGGGGGAGGGGGGCCGGGACTGCTCGGGGTTAGGCTGGGCATCAGTCAGCAGGTGGTGAGCAATTGCATTGTGCATCACTTGTTTGTACACATTAGTAGTAGTAGTACTGTGATCATCATTGTTGTTGTTGTTATTATTATTGTTATTATTATCTTCCTGTCTTAATAAACTGTCTTCATCTCAACTCACGGGCTTCACTTTCCCGTTTCTCTCGCCCATCCCAGAGAGGGAGGGGGGAGGGTGAGCGAACGGCTGTGTGGTGTTTAGCAGCCAGCCGGGTTAAGCCACGACACAGGGTTAAAAAAAACACATAAACTGTAAGTCTTTGTGTACAGTAAGAATTGCTCAGCAAGAATATTTTATGGCCTTTTCACTTGAAAGAGAGATGATCTTCTGATTGCTCTTCACCAGGGATACTGAGGCAACCTGGCCCAGGCTGGGGCCCCAACCTGTTGAGTTCTTGCTGTATAGGTGCAGAATGAAAGCAGCTCTTGAGAGCACAACATTCCCAATACAAAAGAGTAAGGTTAACAGTTTGCCCTCTTTACAAATTGCTCCCAGCTCTCCTAGAGGGCTGCACACATTTTCTTTCTAGGTGCAAAGTGCCTCCCTGCCCTGCTTGTGGGGATCACAGAATCAATCCCAGAACTGTAGGGGTTGGAAGGGACCTGGAAAGATCATCGGGTCCAACCCCCCTGCCAAAGCAGGTTCCTCAGCGGGCAGGCAGCACAGCCCCAGGCAGACCCCAGCACGCTCGCACAGCTGCCTGGCACGGCCCCGCAGCCCTGCCCAAACACCTGGGCACCTTTTCCACCGCCCGGCCTGGGCCTGGGCTCCGCATCACCTGCTGCCACCCCCCGCGGATGGGGATGGGGATGGGGATGGGATGGGGATGGGGATGGGGATGGGGATGGGGATGGGGATGGGGATGCAGCGCCCATGGCACAGCAGGCAGGGGGTGCCCCATGTCACAAAGGGGCGGGGACAGAACGCTGGCCCCAACGGCCACGCAGCCCTGCCATGGCTGCCCGTGCTGACGGGGAGGCTGCTCAGCTGCCTGCTCCTGCTTCAGCCTCAGCTCTGGACACAAACTCCACCAGAGGAACTCAGCTCCTCTCTCCTCTCTCTTCAGGCCCTCACCTCAAATGGCTCTCAGCGCCCTGCAGCACACGGACCCAACTAAACCATGGCACGCTCCTGGCTGCTCCTTGCCAGCACTGGGCCAGACAATTCTCCACGCCCTACAGGACAGGTAAGATCGCCCCAACCCACACCCACCAGGCTGCAACAGCAAGCAGGAAGGTGACAGAATCGGGCCAGGACGGGAGTCAACCGTTGCATCAGGATGATGGGGCACGGACAGCCTTGGTGAGTCGCTAGAGACCCTCGGGCACAGAGGAAGGGCTGCCCGTGGTCACAGGGGGATGCTACTCCCTTTGGTGTTTCTTCTCCTTCAGCTAGAAACACACAGGGATGAGACCACACCACAGCAGACTCCTGGCCGCTCTCCTCTTGAGAACCTGTACAGAAAGAATGCCAACACTCTACAGGACAGATAAGCTACCCCCAACACATTCCCCAGCACGGTCTCACCACACTAAGTGGGAACGGGACACATTGAAGCTACAACAAACATCTCCTGGACATCAGGAAGATGTGAGATGGATGGCACTATTTGGAGGCTGGGAGAGACTCACACAGGGAAGAAGGGACGGCTTCTGATGCTGACAGGGACTGGCTCCTTGGTTTGTTGCCTCCTCTATTACAGCTGGACACACTGACAGCGAGCAAATGAAGCCATGGCACACTCCTGGCCTCTCCCTTTGAGAAGTCATCTAGAAATGTGTCAACGTTCTCCAGGACAGGTAAGATTGCCCCAACCCACACCCCACCACAGTCTCAGAGTAAGCAGGACAGTGACACGCTCAGGCCAGGACAGCAGTGACCACTCCATCAGGACGACGGGACATGGAGAGCCTTGGTGAGATGCCAGAGACCCTTGGTCACAGAGGCAGGGGCTGCCCGTGGTCACAGGGGGATGCTGCTCCCTTTGGTGCTTCTCCTCTTTCAGCCAGACACATACAGCGATGGGGTGAGACCACGGCACACTCCTGGCCTCTCTCTCCCCTTGAGACCTCAGCTGGAAAATGTGTCAACGCTCTACAGGACAGATAAGCTACCCCCAACCCATTCCCCACCATGATCACAAGGCCGGTGGAGTTGGTAAAACATGGATAATTCTAGGCCCACAGGGAGAAACTGGGTGGACGGCACTGTTGTGAGGCTGGGAGAGCCTTAGGCTGGGAGGCAGAGGCTGCTCCTGGCCACAGGGGAAGGCTGCTGCCCTTTGGCTTTCTCTCTTACAGCTGGAAACACACACGCTCTAAGATGTGTGTCTGGGGATGGGACCAGAACACGGCACAACCTGGCCTCACTGCCCTCGACCACTCAGCTGGAAGGAAGAGCTGCCAACGCTCTCCAGGACAGGTAAGATCACCCCAACCCACACCCAACATGGTCCACAGCAAGCAGGAACGTGACAGAATCGGGCCTGGACAGAAGTGACCTCTCCATCAGGACGACGGGACACAGACAGCCTCGGTGAGTAGCTGGAGACCCTCGGGCACACAGGCAGGGGCTGCCCGTGGTCACAGGGGCTGCTGCTCTGTTTGGTGCTTCTTTTCTTTCAGCCACAAACACAGCGATGACACCACACCACGGCACACTCCTGGTCACTCTCCCATTGAGAACTCAGACAGAAGAGCTGCCAATGCTCTCCAGGACAGATAAGATCGCCCCAACCCTTTCCCCACCACAGTCTCACTGCCTGCAGGAAGGCCTGGCCCAACACGGCTGACTCTTGGCTATGAGGGAGACCTGTGATGGACAGCCTTGCTGTCAGGCTCACAGAGCCTCTCCCGGGGATACAGGGGCTGACCCTGGCAACAGGCTGGGGCTGCTCTTTTGGATCATTTTCCTTTCGCACCCCATCACAGAGCCCCGAGCACAACAACGGCTGCCACTGTCCTCTTCCTCCGCGGCCGCTGACCTGAAGGCTGGGGCAGTGTTCTACACCCACAGCCACCAAAGGAGCAGGAAGCACACAAGGATCCCGTCCCTACCCGGCCATGGGCCTACAAGCACACCAACGGGCCCCGCAGCTATGGACCAAGAGAGCTCAGCACGCCTCCGCACCACCCCACCCCACCCCACATCTCTCAAACCTTGCTGAAATAAAGCTTCTGATTCACAACCTCATTGGCTGCTTTTTCCTGCCCTTCTTGGGGAAACCTCGGGGGGCTCTGCCTTTTGCACAAGGAGCGAGTGCACCAGCCTCTGCTTCTTCAGCTGCTGGCACCAAGAGAATTTCAAAGGAGATCAAGTGTCCTAATCTGAGAGCAGAGTCTGCAGGCGTGGCTCTGGAAACCACTTTGCTCCCTCTTTCAGCAATTTGTTCCTTCTTTGACCACAAAACACTCTGACAGGGGCTCTACAGTGCTTAGACTGAATTTCTTTCTGTCCTGTTGGGAATTGGCATACAGGATGTGGACATGTGCCCGTGGAACAATTGTTCGATCTGAGCTTGCTTTAAGCAACCAGGGACAGGCCTTAGAAATCTCAGGGCCTGCTGTAGCTGAGCAAACCAAGCTGCCAGAGTAACTCTGAGAAGCTCCCACAGCAATGACTCCCACATCGCCCAATTAAGGAACTCAGAAAATACTGTTACCAGCAGCTGGCCTCAAGGACAAGGTCTACGTGACCACTAATCACAAAGGGGGTTGTTTTCCTGACTGCTAATCAAAAGGGGGGTTCTTTTCTTGCAGGTGGGGTTGTTTTCTTCTAGTTGTTTGTCTGAGTGCTTTTGACCAATAATCTTGTGTGAAGCACTGTCCGCCCCTGTAAAGTTCACTATAAAAGTTAGGCTATTCGGGCAATAAAATGGAGCAGCATGATCTGACTCAACTGGTGTCTGTCGTGCTTTCGGCTGTGCTTCGCAACAAATGGCGCCCGACAGGCTGGGACCCGAACAGGCTGAGACCTGAACAGGACCTGAACAAACATCGCAGCCGGAGCAGGACATCGCAGCAGCGGAGCAGACATCGCAGCCGAGCACGGACATCGCAGCGGCGCCGGGACAAACATCGCAGCGCAGCGGGACACCAGCGGCGCCGGCACTTCCGAACGCAGGTAGACCAGGAGACCAGCGGCGTCGGGACCAGCGGCGTCGGGACCAGCTGCCGCCGGGACCAGCGCCGGGGTCGCAGCGCCGAGACTGAGACATCGGAGCGCCGCCGGGACATCGGAGCGGACATCGGAGCGGCGCTGCAGCTGACCAGACACCGAGCCGCACACGCTGTACACAGGACTCACGGTGAGACGCGCTACTCCCGGTGAGAGACGCGGAAAACGCGGCACTCCCGGTGAGAGACGCGGGACACGGGGGGACGCGGGGACGCGGGGACTCGCGGTGAGAGACGCGGGACACGGAACCGCGCAGGGAATTGAAGTAATCGCGGGACACTGAAGTGATCGCGGTGGAGGTGAGAGGGACGATAATCCCCGCAGTACCCGCAGCCTGACAGGTGAACGGGACGTAACGGGACGTAGACGGGGAATCCCCGCACCCGGGAGCACCTATAGAGGGTCCCTGCCAGTCACTTGTCTCGCAAAGGCTGCAACAGCATACATAGAGGCATGGAGAGACAAGCGGCGTATGATTTGCTCAAATGCTTTTTAGAAAACCGCAGCACGCAGGGTATAGACTGCAAAAAGGATTTACCAGGATTATTAGCATACGGCGTAGCACAGGGTTGTTTTATCAATCCGGATACAGTTTTTGAACAAGCAGAGTGGCGCAAATTTGGGGACAAATTGTTTGATGAAGTTATTAATGACAATAAGGCTGCTAAAAAATTATTGAAGCCTTGGAGAGCAGTCACTAACGCCTTAGCTATACATCAGGCTGAGCAGAGAGTCGCTGCTGCCGCTACAGAGCGACTGGGATTGCCAGGAAGTGCTGGTAGTGTTAACCCTCAACAGGGAGGGATGAGGGGAGCTGGGGATTACCCATTGCCGCCTTCAGTGAGGACGGTAACGCTGCCTCAGGGGGCTACGGGGCAATGGGAGCCTCCTCCTCTCTCATCATCCTACTCAGAGTCGGCGTTGGTGCTCCCGCCATCACCAGCAGCACCACCGGCTCCTTCTCACAAAAGTGGGGAAATGGATGAGGAAATAAGAGAGCGAAAACCAGAAAGAAAAAATACAAGCCCGTTTATAGGTGTTCAAGAGAGGCAGAGGGTGTGGAAGCAAATAGCAGATGAGGCTCTACGCGAGGGTGAACACGGGATAGCTGCACAATTGGTTCAAGAGCCCTTCCTGGTAGTATATTCACCACCGGACGCCCAGGGTAATGTTACGGTTAATCTAGTGAATTTGGACTGGAAATTGTTAACTCAGCTGCGGTCAACAGTAAATGACTCAGGTCTGAAAGGTGAACCTACGAGACACATGCTGGACTACATTTGGGGAACAAATATTTTGCTTCCAGGAGACATACGCAACATAATGAAGTTAATTTTGACCCAACACCAGCAGCTCTTATTTAATGCCCATTGGCAGGCTGCTTGTCAAGAAGCAGTCGCAGTGATAAGAGCACCGGGGGACCCTTTACATGGGGTCACGCTGGAAGAGTTGATGGGGGTAGGACCGTATTTTAGGACAGAAGCTCAGGCATTGCTGGGACCTGATAAAGCGAAGGAATCGATGAGAATGGCCAGAAAAGCATTGGATCGGATAAAGGGGCCAGGGGGAATACCTTCCTATGTGGGAATCAAACAGGGTAGAGAGGAACCATTTGGGCTTTTTATTGACCGTGTAGCAAACGCCATACAGGCGGCTGGGGTGCCTGATTACCTCAAGGGCATGATATTAAAAGAGTGCGCAATTCAGAATAGCAACCCCTCTACTCGCAATATATTGGCTTCCTTACCCGGGACATGGACAATCGAGGAAGGGTTGGAAAGAATGGCTCAGGTACCAGTAGGCCCCCAGGCTATGTTAGCAGAAGCAGTAAAGCAATTAGGTGACAGCATGCGGGAGCTGGCACAGGCTATGAAAGAGCATGCTGAGTTTACACAGAGTCAGCTCCTTGCAGCTCCTGCTCCTTTGCAAACCGCCGGGTCACGCTCTGGTGGTCAAGTACCACCCCCTGGTGGCCAAAAGCCACCCCGCTTGCGATGTTATCGTTGTGGTGTTTTTGGACACGTGAGACGAAACTGCAAAGCTGGGGCAGTATGGTGCCCAAATTGTCAGTCGGGCAATCACAATGAAGCAGCATGTAGACGCAACGTGCCAGGAAATGGCCGGAACAGCGGGAAGAGCCGTCCCGCGACGACACAAAACACGGCCGCATGCACAGCAACACCGAGGGGGAACCCGTTCCTCTCCGACAAGAGGGAGCCTCGGCCTTGACTTGGCAACAGCAGTAGATTGCACGCCGATGGACTCAAAACCTGTTCGCATTGCTACAGGTGTCAAAGGACCAATTTGTATTAATGGACAAGCTGTGGGAGCATTACTTATAGGGAGGTCATCAGCGACCATGCTGGGACTACAAGTATTAGTGGGACTTATTGATAAAGACTATCAAGGAGAAATTCAAATAATGGCCCAGACGTTGTTTCCACCGTTATTTGTGCCTAAGGGCACCAAGGTAGCGCAATTGGTTCCGTTATCACATCTTGCTGAAGCCACCTCACCCATGCAGGAGCAACTGCGAGGGCAAGGAGCATTTGGCTCTAGGGGAAATGTGGCTTTGTTAACTGTGGGATTACGGCAAAGACCACGACAGGTGGTCACGGTGCAGTATAAAGAAGAAGCCATAAGAATCAATGCGTTACTTGACACGGGAGCTGATGTATCTATAATCAGCACACAAAACTGGCCGCAGCATTGGCCAACATCTGAAACCAATGCCATGGTGGCTGGGGTAGGAGGAATGACACTTGCCCGTCAGTCACCACCCCTGCGGTGGACAATAGGGGACAAAGTGATGAAATTATCTGCCCTTCTCAGACCTGCAGGCCAGACCAGTTCAGATGTGAAGATGGGAACTGTGTCCATGGGAGTAGGCAGTGCAGTGGTGTGAGAGACTGTCTGGATGGCACTGATGAAGCAAACTGTAACGATGTTATTCAGTGCTCTGGACCTGGCAAATTCAAGTGCAGAAGTGGAGAATGCATAGATATCAATAAAGTGTGTAACCAGCAGAGAGACTGCAAGGACTGGGGTGATGAGCCCCTGAAGGAATGCAACATAAATGAATGTGACTGTCCAGCTGGGTTTGAGTTTGTAGACAAGAGAAACTGTGGAGATATTGATGAATGTCAAAACCCTGGTATCTGTAGTCAAATCTGTATCAACCTGAAAGGTGGCTACAAATGTGAATGTAGCCGTGGCTATCAGATGATTCCTTCTACAGGAACCTGGAAAGGGCCATACCGGTACAAAAATACAAATAACACCTGTGATTACAATGACGCTGCTAAGCAGGGTTTAGGGGTTCATAGCATGGAGACAAGGGGTAACAACTACAGTGTTTGGAACAATTGTACAGCTTTGGCATTACCTCCTGATGTTTTTCTGATTTGTGGGCATAGGGCCTGGCAAGGTATCGCTGCAAATGCTATCAGATGTCCATGTTACTTAGATAAACTCATTGTATTTGCTTCTAGCTTGTTACAGTTGCATGAGATCACCAGACATAAATGGGCATTGCTTGCACCAGATTGCAATGATAATGTTGAATTGTGTGGGGTTGCAGCTAGAGCGGCACTGGCAGTTTTAGTGCCTGGAGTGGCATCTGCAGCTGCACGTAACAACTGCTCGGCTGCGGGGATCGGCTGCGGCGTGGACGCCCCTAGGGGCACCCTGAGCGTTTTGCTCGGAGGGGACTCCACTCTCAGCTGCTCACCACAGGAGCAAAGATCTCCTGAAGCTGCAGACAAACAGTATGTTTTTGGCTGCTGGAGGGATACTAACTGGAGTGTTAATACTTGTATGTGTTATTCTTAAATGTCCAGGTATTTTGTGTTGAAAGTATTTGTGTAAGGGTAAGGTTTTAAAACAAAGTGTTGCAAGTCACTTCACGAGGAACACAATGAGAGACAACACTTGTTTGTTTACTTATCATTCTGAATTATATTCTTGTGGTATGATTGAGGTTGTGGTATGACTGAGAGTGAGATGTGCCAGAGGCCTCTGGGTGTACGATTGTGCTCTGTATGTGTGATTGTACTGTGTACTGTGTGAGTGAGAGCGCATTTTAGCCATAGTACAGGTTATTGTTGCCACAGTGCAGGATCCTGGGATATAACCATAGTGCAGGCTAAAGGGAATGTACTGTTTAGACCTTTTTGATCATAATGAGTCAACTCACAAATTCATTACTTTTCTGAAAGAACACATGAGAAAGAGTCAATATGGTATCAATCCTTTCAATCGATGGTTCACTGATTTGTTTGAAACAATGCATAGATGGTTACTGGGATTAGTCAAAGGGGGATTAAGGATTCTGTTCATTATGGTGTCAATCATCATTGCACCTAGTATTGTGATAAATGTGGTTAAAGGGTTACTTGCAGAAATGTTATAGAGATTTTGAAGTGGTGCCATGAACAGGTACCCAGTGGATCTCTGCAAAGTGGACTGAAGCAGCTTTAGAATCTGCAAAGGCCAAAGATGACCATGAAGAGATTCCTGATAACCATTCTGACAATGACATGGGCTGTGACACCTCAAGGACTGTCAAGAACAGCCTTTGATCACCATCAAGTGATTAGGTTTAAGTGTGTTACTATTAAGTTGTGTTACTTACTATTAAATTGTGTTACCATTAAGTGCTTACAGTAATTGTAGTGTTATTAGGGTTAAGTTGTATAGTTGGGTTGATCACCATCAAGTGGTTAGGTTTAGTTGTGTTACTATTAAGTTGTGTTACTTACTATTAAATTGTGTTACCATTAAGTGCTTACAGTAATTATAGTGTTATTGGGGTTAAGTTGTATAGTTGGGTTGATCACCATCAAGTGATTAGGTTTAGGTGTGTTACTATTAAGTTGTGTTACTTACTATTAAATTGTGTTGCCATTAAGTGCTTACAGTAATTGTAGTGTTATTAGGGTTAAGTTGTATAGTTGGGTTGATCACCATCAAGTGATTAGGTTTAGGTGTGTTACTATTAAGTTGTGTTACTTACTATTAAATTGTGTTACCATTAAGTGCTTACAGTAATTATAGTGTTATTAGGGTTAAGTTGTATAGTTGGGTTGATCACCATCAAGTGATTAGGTTTAGGTGTGTTACTATTAAGTTGTGTTACCATTAAGTGCTTACAGTAATTGTAGTGTTGTTAGGGTTAAGTTGTATAGTTGTGTTATGTTATGTATTTGACATCTGATGTAAAACCAAGTACTGCTTGTACAAAAAGAAAATGGGGGAATTGTTGGGAATTGGCATACAGGATGTGGACATGTGCCCGTGGAACAATTGTTCGATCTGAGCTTGCTTTAAGCAACCAGGGGTAGGCCTTAGAAATCTCAGGGCCTGCTGTAGCTGAGCAAACCAAGCTGCCAGAGTAATTGTGAGAAGCTCCCAGGGCAGTGACTCCCAAATCGCCCAATTAAGGAACTCAGAAAATACTGTTACCAGCAGCTGGCCTCAAGGACTAGGTCTACCTGACCGCTAATCACAAGGGGGGTTGTTTTCCTAACTGCTAATCAAAAGGGGGGTTCTTTTCTTGCAGGTGGGGTTGTTTTCTTCTAGTTGTTTGTCTGAGTGCTTTTGACCAATAATCTTGTGTGAAGCACTGTCCGCCCCTGTAAAGTTCACTATAAAAGTTAGGCTATTCGGGCAATAAAATGGAGCAGCATGATCTGACTCAACTGGTGTCTGTCGTGCTTTCGGCCGTGCTTCACAACAATCCTACCCAGAAGAAACACCGTCCAGAAGACACTTGAGCTGTTAGGGCCTGAATTCTCAATGAAACCAAAGGCAGGGATCTTATTGACCTGAAGAAAGAGGCTTTAATCTCTCCTGGCTTGTTTACTCCTGAAGGAGCGTGAAAGAGACACGTGTCCTTGTATGTGAAGAGGAGGTGAAGGAACAGCTAGTGCAAGGAACACACAAAGCCGTTGCGCCAGACTAATAGGTGGTTGTCTCTGAGCTGGGAGACTGCAACAGAAACACAGAATTATCTAGGTTGGAAGAGACCTCCAAGATCACCGAGTCCAACCTCTGACCTAACACTAACCAGTCCTCCACTAAACTGTATCACTGAGCTCTACATTTAAAAGTCTTTAAAAGACTTCCAGGGATGGTGACTCCACCACTTCCCTGGGCAGCCCATTCCAATGCCTAACAGCCCTTTCAGTAAAGACGTTCTTCCTAATATCCAACCTAAAACTCCCCTGGCACAACTTTAGGCCTTTTCTTCTCATCCTGTCACCAGGCACATGGGAAAATAGACCAACCCCCACCTCGCTACAGCCTCCTTTAAGGTACCCGTAGAGTGTGATAAGGTCACCCCTGAGCCTCCTCTTTTCCAGGCTGAACAAGCCCAGCTCCCTCAGCCGCTCCTCATAGGACTTGTTCTCCAGGCCCCTCACCAGCTTCATCGCCCTTCTCTGGAATCTCTTGAGCACCTCGATGTCCTTCTTGTAGCGAGGGGCCCAAAACTGAACACAGTACTCAAGGTGCGGCCTCACCAGAGCCCAGTACAGGGGGACGATCACCTCCCTAGCCCTGCTGGCCACACTGCTTCTTACACAAGCCAGGATGCCGTTGGCCTTCTTGGTCACCTGAGCACACTGCTGGCTCATATTCAGCCGACTGTCCTCCAATACTCCCAGGTCCTTCTCCACCAGGCAGATTTCCAACCACTCATCTCCCAGCCTGTTGCTCTGCTTGGGGTTGTTGCGCCCCAGGTGCAGGACCCGGCACTTGGCCTTGTTGAACTCCATGCAGTTGACCTCAGCCCATCGGTGCAGGCTATCCAGATCCTCCTGCAGAGCCTTCCTACCCTCAAGCAGATCAACACACGCACCTAACTTGGTGTCATCTGCACATTTACTGAGGGTGCACTCAATGCCCTCATCCAGATCATCAATGAAGATATTAAAGAGGACTGGCCCCAGTACTGAGCCCTGGGGGACGCCACTAGTGACTGGCCTTGACAAGTGACAAGTCTTTGTGTCAGTAAGAATTGCTCAGCAAGAATATTTTATGGCCTTTTCACTTGAAAGAGAGATGATCTTCTGATTGCTCTTCACCAGGGGTACTGAGGCAACCTGGCCCAGGCTGGGGCCCCAACCTGTTGGGTTCTTGCTGTACAGGTGCAGAATGAAAGCAGCTCTTGAGAGCACAACATTCCCAATACAAAAGAGTAAGGTTAACATTTGCCCTCTTTACAAATTGCTCCCAGCTCTCCTAGAGGGCTCCACACATTTTCTTTCTAGGTGCAAAGTGCCTCCCTGCCCTGCTTGTGGGGATCACAGAATCAATCCCAGAACTGTAGGGGTTGGAAGGGACCTGGAAAGATCATTGGGTCCCACCCCCCTGCCAAAGCAGGTTCCTCAGCGGGCAGGCAGCACAGCCCTAGCCAGACCCCAGCACGCTCGCACAGCTGCCTGGCACGGCCCCGCAGCCCTGCCCAAACACCTGGGCACCTTTTCCACCGCCCGGCCTGGGCCTGGGCTCCACATCACCTGCTGCCACCCCCCGCGGATGGGGATGGGGATGGGGATGGGGATGGGGATGCAGCGCCCATGGCACAGCAGGCAGGGGGTGCCCCATGTCACAAAGGGGCGGGGACAGAACGCTGGCCCCAACGGCCACGCAGCCCTGCCATGGCTGCCCGTGCTGACGGGGAGGCTGCTCAGCTGCCTGCTCCTGCTTCAGCCTCAGCTCTGGACACAAACTCCACCAGAGGAACTCAGCTCCTCTCTCCTCTCTCTTCAGGCCCTCCCCTCAAATGGCTCTCAGCGCCCTGCAGCACACGGACCCAACTAAACCATGGCCCGCTCCTGGCCGCTCCTTGCCAGCACTGGGCCAGACAATTCTCCATGCCCTACAGGACAGGTAAGATCGCCCCAACCCACACCCACCAGGCTGCAACAGCAAGCAGGAAGGTGACAGAATCGGGCCAGGACGGGAGTCAACCGTTGCATCAGGATGACGGGGCACGGACAGCCTTGGTGAGTCGCTAGAGACCCTCGGGCACAGAGGCAGGGGCTGCCCATGGTCACAGGGGGATGCTGCTCCCTTTGGTGTTTCTTCTCCTTCAGCTAGAAACACACAGGGATGAGACCACACCACAGCAGACTCCTGGCCGCTCTCCGCTTGAGAACCTGTACAGAAAGAATGCCGACACTCTACCGGACAGGTAAGCTACCCCCAACACATTCCCCAGCACGGTCTCACCACACTAAGTGGGAACGGGACACATTGAAGCTACAACAAACATCTCCTGGACATCAGGAAGATGTGAGATGGATGGCACTATTTGGAGACTGGGAGAGACTCACACAGGGAAGAAGGGACGGCTTCTGATGCTGACAGGGAGTGGCTCCTTGGTTTGTTGCCTCCTCTATTACAGCTGGACACACTGACAGCGAGCAAATGAAGCCATGGCACACTCCTGGCCTCTCCCTTTGAGAAGTCATCTAGAAATGTGTCAGCGTTCTCCAGGACAGGTAAGATAGCCCCAACCCACACCCCACCACAGTCTCAGAGTAAGCAGGACAGTGACACGCTCAGGCCAGGACAGCAGTGACCACTCCATCAGGACGACGGGACACGGACAGCCTTGGTGAGACGCTAGAGACCCTCGGGCACAGAGGCAGGGGCTGCCCGTGGTCACAGGGGGATGCTGCTCCCTTTGGTGCTTCTTCTCTTTCAGCTGGAATCACACGGTGGTGTGACCAGACTGCAACACAATCCTGGTCTCTCTCTCCTTAAGAACTCAGCTGGAAGGGAGAGCTGCCAACGCTCTCCAGGACAGGTAAGATCACCCCAACCCACACCCACCAGGCTCTAACAGCAAGCCGGAAGGTGACACGATCCGGCGGGGACACCAGGGACCGCTCCGTCAGGATGACAGGAGACAGACGGATGTGGTGAGATGCTCAAAACCCTCGGGCACAGAGGCAGGGGCTGCCCGTGGTCACACGGGGATGCTGCTCTGTTGTTCCTTCTCTTCTTAAAGCCAGAAACAGACAGCGATGGGACCAGACCATGGCACACTCCTGGCCTCTCTCCCCTTGACACCTCAGCTGGAAAATGTGTCAACGCTCTACAGGACAGATAAGCTACCCCCAGCCTATTCCCCACCATGGTCTCAGCGCCTGTGCAGTTGGTAAAACATGGGTAATTCTTGGTCAACACAGAGCAGCTGGATGGACGGCACTGTTGTGAGGCTGGGAGAGTCTTAGGCTGGGAGGCAGGGGCTGCTCCTGGCCACAGGGGAAGGCTGCTGCCCTTTGGCTTTCTCTCTTACAGCTGGAAACACACACGCTCTAAGATGTGTGTCTGGGGATGGGACCAGAACACGGCACAACCTGGCCTCACTGCCCTCGACCACTCAACTGAAAGGAAGAGCTGCCATCGCTCTCCAGGACAGGTAAGATCGCCCCAACCCACACCCAACATGGTCCACAGCAAGCAGGAACGTGACAGAATCGGGCCAGGACAGAAGTGACCTCTCCATCAGGACGACGGGACACAGCCTCGGTGAGTAGCTGGAGACCCTCGGGCACACAGGCAGGGGCTGCCCGTGGTCACAGGGGCTGCTGCTCTGTTTGGTGTTTCTTTTCTTTCAGCCACAAACACAGCGATGAGACCACACCACGGCACACTCCTGGTCACTCTCCCATTGAGAACTCAGACAGAAGAGCTGCCAGCGCTCTCCAGGACAGATAAGATCGCCCCAACCCTTTCCCCACCACAGTCTCACTGCCTGCGGGAAGGTGATGGGCCTGGCCCAACACGGCTGACTCTTGGCCATGAGGGAGACCCGGGATGGACAGCCTTGCTGTCAGGCTCACAGAGCCTCTCCCGGGGATACAGGGGCTGACCCTGGCAACAGGCTGGGGCTGCTCTTTTGGATCATTTTCCTTTCGCACCCCATCACAGAGCCCCGAGCACAACAACGGCTGCCACTGTCCTCTTCCTCCGCGGCCGCTGACCTGAAGGCTGGGGCAGCGTTCTACACCCACAGCCACCAAAGGAGCAGGAAGCACACAAGGATCCCGTCCCTACCCGGCCATGGGCCTACAAGCACACCAACGGGCCCCGCAGCTATGGACCAAGAGAGCTCAGCACGCCTCCGTGCCACCCCACCCCACCCCACTCCACCCCTCTCAAACCTTGCTGAAATAAAGCTTCTGATTCACAACCTCATCGGCTGCTTTTTCCTGCCCTTCTTGGGGAAACCTCGGGGGGCTCTGCCTTTTGCACAAGGAGCGAGTGCACCAGCCTCCGCTTCTTCAGCTGCTGGCACCAAGAGAATTTCAAAGGAGATCAAGTGTCCTAATCTGAGAGCAGAGTCTGCAGGCGTGGCTCTGGAAACCACTTTGCTCTCTCTTTCAGCAATTTGTTCCTTCTTTGACCACAAAACACTCTGACAGGGGCTCTACAGTGCTTAGACTGAATTTCTTTCTGTCCCACCGTGCTGCTGGGACTGCTGCTGTCAGACGAGGAGCAGCACCGCTCATTCCTCCAGCGAAAGGAGCTTGCTTACAAGGCACGCTTGCTTCCTTGCAGCTCAGTCCTTGTGTTGCTGCAAGCTCCTGCGGTGGCTGTCTGTATAGAGCACCAGCTTGCCTGGCTCATGCTTGGTACCTGCGCTCTCAGGCACAAAGCACCGTCCTTGTGGGGCTGTCGGGGCACTTCAGAGACATCCTGATGGAATGTGTGACCCCCAGCCACTGGAGACAACAAACGACATCAACTTGAAAGTAAAATTGCCGTGGTTTCCTAGATCACATCTCCCTCCCGCTGCCCAGACAGAGCCCTCCGTTGCAAAGGAGGGGAAGCCACTTACTCTCTTTAAGAATTGCTCCCAGCTCACCTAAAGGGCTGCACACATTTGCTTGCTAGGTGCAAAGTGCCTCCCTACCCTGCTTGTGGGGACACGCTGGCCTTGGGCAGGGAACAGACCGAGCTGCCTCTGCTCACTCTGGACCTGCTGAAGTGTGTGCCACTGGCACAGGGCGTTAGGCTGTCCATGCGTATTCTGCTCATATTTTTGGAGCTCTTTGCAGAGATGCTATCGTATAGCTCAAGGGCATGGTGCAAAGCACTGAGACTTGGGGTAGAATTACAAGGGCGCTCAGTGGGACTGACTGTGTGGTGTGCCAGAGGGTCTGTTATGGAGTTACACCTGATGGTTAATATTTGCCACCCGCTATCACTGCTCAACGGGAAATGCAGTGTGTTTTTTATATGCTTCAAGAGAAGAGGTGAATGAAGTGTCCTGATTACCATAATCCAGTGACTGCCGGGCAAGGTTACCTTTATTTTCTACACAGCTATTGATTGGGAAGGACTGCAGGCTGACCAGGCTCGGGGAAGGACCTCCTGCAGTAAGGCTTTATTACCAGCCTGGAGTACTTCACAAAGAATCACAGAAATTCTAGGTTGGACGAGACCTCAAGATCATCGAGTCCAACCTCTGACCTAACACTAACAGTCCCCACTAAACCATATCCCTAAGCTCTACATCTAAACGTCTTTTAAAGACCTCCAGGGATGGTGACTCCACCACTTCCCTGGGCAGCCCGTTCCAATGCCTAACAGCCCTTTCAGTAAAGAAGTTCTTCCTAACATCCAACCTAAAACTCCCCTGGCACAACTTTAGCCCATTCCCCCTCGTCCTGTCACCAGGCACGTGGGAGAACAGACCAACCCCCCCCTCGCTACAGCCTCCTTTAAGGTATCTGTAGAGAGCAATAAGGTCGCCCCTGAGCCTCCTTTTCTCCAGGCTGAACAAGCCCAGCTCCCTCAGCCGCTCCTCATAGGACTTGTTCTCCAGGCCCCTCACCAGCTTCATCGCCCTTCTCTGGACTCGCTTGAGCACCTCGATGTCCTTCTTGTAGCGAGGGGCCCAAAATTGAATACAGTATTCGAGGTGCGGCCTCACCAGAGCCCAGTACAGGGGGACAATCACTTCCCTAGCCCTGCTGGTCACACTGCTTCTTACACAAGCCAGGATGCCGTTGGCCTTCTTGGTCACCTGAGCACACTGCTGGCTCATATTCAGCCGACTGTCCTCCAATACTCCCAGGTCCTTCTCCACCAGGCAGATTTCCAACCACTCATCTCCCAGCCTGTTGCTCTGCTTGGGGTTGTTGCGCCCCAGGTGCAGGACCCGGCACTTGGCCTTGTTGAACTTCATGCAGTTGACCTCAGCCCATCGGTGCAGCCTATCCAGATCCTCCTGCAGAGCCTTCCTACCCTCGAGCAGATCGACACAATATATAAACCCTCTTTTTATAAACCCTCTTTTTTCTCCTTATCTCAAGTCACAACTCTCTGTTGAGCCAGGCCGGTCTTCTTCCACGCCGGCTCGTCATTGGGCACGTGGGGACAGACCGTTCCTGCGCCATTAAGATTTCCCTCTTGAAGAGCGTCCAGCCTTCCTGGACCCCTCTGCCCTTCAGAACCGCCTCCCAAGGAACTCTGCCAACTAGTGTCCTGAGCAGCTCAAAGTCAGCCTTCTGGAAGTCCAATACAGCGGTTTTACTGGTCCCCTTCCTGGCCTCTGCAAGAACAGAGAACTCCACCATTTCGTGGTCACTGTGCCCAAGACAGCTTCCGACCACCACATCTCCCACTAGTCCTTCTCTGTTTGTGAAGAGAAGGTCTAGCGGGCTACCACCCCTAGTAGGTTCACTAACCAGCTGTGTTAGGAAGCTATCTTCCACACTCTCCAGAAACCTCCTAGACTGCTTTGTCTGGGCTGTGTTGTGCTTCCAGGATATGTCAGGGAAGTTGAAGTCCCCCACGAGAACAAGCACCGACGATTTTGCAACTTCTGTCGGCTGCCTGTAGAACTCCTCATCCTGGTTTGGCGGTCTATAACAGACCCCGACCAGGATGCTAGCCTTGTTGGCCTTCCCACCGATCCTAACCCAAAGGGACTCAACCTTGTCATTCCCAGCCTCGAGTTCCACAACATCGAAAGACTCTCTAATATAGAGAGCCACACCACCACCCCTTCCATGCTGCCTGTCCCTTCTGAAGAGCCTATAGCCAGGCATTGCAGCACTCCAGTCATGAGACTGGTCCCACCACATCTCTGTGATGGCAACCAAGTCGTAGCCTGCCTGCTGCACGACGGCTTCCAGCTCCTCCTGTTTGTTACCCATGCTGCGTGCATTGGTGTAGATGCACTTCAGCTGGGCCATTGCCTTATCCCCTGGCCTTGCCATTGTTCCCCCTGGCACAGCTCCAACAAGCCTTGAGTGAACGAATGGCTGCGTGGTGCTTAGCTGCTGGCTGGGGGAAACCACGGTGACAGCAATGTAGTCATGTAACCAAATTAAAGCCAAAACTTTCAGCCCGGTCCTTGACCTGAATAGGGAGTGAGGATCCAGATCCTGGCATTTATACGTGATAGTTTATATGCAGCCAAAGTAAATACTGCAGTCGGAGGTCATGGCGCTAGATTTTGAAAAGTCCGGCATAAAGAAGAGATCTCAGAAAAGCAAATTTAAGCAACATTAATGTCAAGTAAAGTCTTTCTGATTGCTATATTCCTTATCTGTCGTGACTAGACAGATGAAAATCCAGGATGGCAATTCTGCCTTTTAGGTCATTTTCTTTTTTTCTTTTATTTATTTCTTCTCTTTATGTTGATTTATCTTATTTTAACAGGCTCTGTACTAATTTTCCTCACAGAATAACTAGCAGAAATATGACCCTTACATGCCTTTTGTAGTTAATTAATTAGGTCAACTCTAACCACTGAGCCCCTTGTCAGGTTCTTTCTGTTAGCAATAAGGAGCAATTGAACCTTAAACATTGAAACGAGCTTGTTGAGCCTATTCCACAAGGTCTCATGACTCCACACATGTGAAGTGAAATCTGCCAGGTGGGGATCATTTGACCTTTGCTATATAGGAAGCATGAGGAGTCATGGGAAGCTTTGCTACTCCAGAGGAGTTTGAGGTTCGGGTTACTTAGGGTGCTTTTCTACTCTACTGTCCTGGAGAAATGGACTCAGTGTTCCAAGATAGACTGCTTTTTCTTCATGTTTTCTGCCATCTCTGAGAAATAGTTTTGGAGAATCTATGAGCTAGTAACAGCTGGGGGTGACTACTCAGAAGAGGAAAACCCTGGAGGTGCTACTTCTCTGTGAAGTTGTTTGTCAGTGAGTAAAATTCAGAAGCAGGCAGGTAAGTGCTTTGGGGTTAAAAATTTGATTTGGGTTGGGTTGGGGAGCTGGAGGACTTCTTTCACCTTGTCTGGTCTCCAGTCCCTTCAATTCCTTTCCATTGACAGAGGTGAGACTTACTGACCTGTAGTTCCCAGATCCTTTTTCCTGTGCTTCTTGAGGATCCAAATGGCACTGGCTTTCCTCCTGTCTTCAGGCACCTCACCTGTTCTCCAGGACCTTTCCAAGATGATAGGGAAAGTTCAGCAATCACATCTGACAGCTCCTTTAGCACACACGGATCTAGTAGATTTGTAGTAGACCCCTGCCACCGTGTCTCCCATACCAGCTCACCCCTTTTTTTTTTTTTTACTCACAAGCTCTCCACCTGTCCATCACCCCCCCAGCTGCAGCTGGGTACACTCTAATTGCTCCCTCACATAAAGGGCAACCCCACCCCCTCACTTCCCCAGCCTGTCTCTCCTAAAGAGGACGTAGCCATCCATGATTGTGTTCCAGTCGTGTGAGCTGTCCCACCACATTTCAGTGATCACAACAAGATCGTGGCCCTGCGACCGAACACAGATCTTGAGCTCATCCTGTTTATTTCCCGTGCTCTGTGCACTGGTGCATAGGCACTGTAGGGAAGCAGCAGGTACATTTACCCCAGGGGGATGCAAGAAGAAGAGACTGGACGGGGGATTGGGAACGCTACCTTCTCTGAGGAGCCCTCAGACAATCCTATGGGAGAGCTCTGAAGTTCTTCCCTGTCTTCAACAGTGGCAGTAGTGTGAAATGTGTTCATCTGATTCGTGTCAATATGGAACAATGCTAGGGCCGCATGGTGTGACGAATGTGACCTTCTGTCCTACAGACCCTTGTATAACCACAAGTCTAAGAAAAACAGAGTGCTTAATGTATATAGTTCTTGTACCTTGCAAAGGAATGTTTTAGCAATTCCTGTCAATAGAGAGCTTGAAGAGAAATGTATTTGTAGGCTTTTCCTTGAAGTCTATGATATCTG